TAGCTCAGGGAACTGCAGAGCCCACCTCCCTTTGCTTAAGCACTCCTACAGGACAGCAAAGCTTTGGGAACCCCCAATTCTCTGTATCTGTCAGAACGAGAGGGCACGGTGTACAAAACCCACACGGGACCACGGGATTGGGAGCCCGGTTCTGAGACCCAAGACAATGACGAGGGTCAGGCTACTCCCTCGCTAGCCTGTGTTCACCAAGACACGTGTGTCTCTCCTCCTGGAGAGACAGCTGCAGAGTGAACCCACCCACAGGTGATGCCGTGGGTGCCCAGGCTGCCTCCTCCTGCCCCTGTGCCTGGCGCTGTGTTGTCACCGCATTGCGGTTCTCTGAAGGCCGATCCCTGCGCTCCGGTTGTTGGGGAGGGAGGGACCTAGAGCCCAGAGAGCCAAGGTCTCGCCGCCCCTGGTAACTTACTAGGTGTGTGGTCCCGGGCAGTGGGCGTCCCATCCTGGGCCTCAGTCTCCCTGGGCTCCGTGCGTTTCGAAAACTGCAGTCAGCCAGGGGAGGTGGCCCCCCTCTCCTCCCTGCTTTCTCCCGGCATCCGGTGGAGCCCTCTACCACTCCAGAGGGCCTCGGTGTTAGCACCCTTAAGTAAATAACTTTATCTGTTTAAATTTGATCAGGGAGGGACAGAATGAGAGAGAGAGGAAACGTGAGAAAGCAAGTCACCAAGTCTGGGACTCAACTGTGGTCAGCCTGTGGGAGTCCAGCACCTCAGCCACCCCTGGACCCAGTGGCGACCATTCCTTTCTTTGTTTCTCTTTTTTAGAGAGAGATTTTTGCTATAGGGTGTGTGCACTCACCATTGAGACAGAGACAGAAAGCAAAAAATCACCCCCCGGGGGGATGGCCACACTGTAATCCCTCTCTATTCTCCTCTCAGGATTTTGGGCACGGCACACACACACACATGCCTGGTGTGAGTTTTAAGTCGCTGGTCCAGGACTTGAACCACAGTCAGCTACATGGGAGTCCAGCGACAGAACCATTACGCCATCTGCTGGTCCCCAACAGTGACCATTTGTAACGTGAGGGGCCAGGGAAGGAGGGCCAGGGTACTGACTCTCCTCCTGTATTTCAGGCTCCCCTGTGGCCTTCTACGCCAGCTTTTCAGAAGGGACAGATGCCCCGCAGATGGTGAAGTTCAACACCACGGCTGTCAACATTGGCGGCAGCTACTTCCCAGAACACGGCTACTTCCAGGCCCCTGAGCGTGGCGTCTACCTGTTTGCAGTGAGCGTCGCATTCGGCCCAGGCCGGGGTGCAGGGCAGCTGGTGTTTGGAGGTCACCATCAGACCCAGGTCTCTACCAGTAAGTGCAGGGGCGGGAGCACAGTCACCACCTTCGCTATGGCGGAGCTGCAGAGAGGGGAGAGAGTGTGGTTCGAGCTAACCCAGGGGTCCCTAACGAGAAGCCCGTCGGGCGCTGCGTTCGGGGGCTTCCTGATGTTCAAGACCTGAACCCTGGGCACGGCCCAGACTGGGCGTCCTGGACTGCACATCTCGGACTCGCCCGCTGCGCCCGGCCTGGGAACATGCCAGTGGTCCAGCTCTTCCCTGGAGCCTTCTACAGGGACTGTGTGGTACAGTGGCCTCCCTCCGGGTGCACTGGCCTTGGGGACTTCCCAGTAATGAGGACTGGAATGCATGCACGACCTGGTGGGGCAGACCTGGTCTACCTGGCACCGGCCGCTCGACGCCACTCCTCGGATTCTCCAGGCTCCGTGCTTTAGGCCTCTCCTGTGGCTGGAAGCCTCCGTCCACACGCAGACCTCCCTCCTGCCTCCTCCTCTCCCTGCCTGTGTGCTAGACGGTCATCCTTTCCCAGAGGATGTTTAAGATGGGGGTGACACTTCAGCCAAACGGAACAGTCTCCGGCTGCTACAGGGCAACAGAAGAAAGGCACATGGCCAGGCCCCGCCAGGCAGAAAGAGGGGCTGGGGCTGGCCGGGTCACCCACAGGACGAAGCAGCACCTCGTGGTCATCATTCCTCATATTTATCTGTCCTCGTCTCTCCGTGTTTGGGTCCTCTTAGCCTCCTACAGGAGAGGCTGACCCACACCAGGCATGACCTTAAGCGAGCCCTCACTCCTGAGGTTCCAGGGGCAGGAGCTGGCCGGGACGGAGCCGGGCGTGCTGGGACGGGCAGGAAGACTGTGTAGGCCTCCCTCAAAGTGACCAGCTTAGAATAAAGCAGCAGCCCTTGACGCTGCCTCGTGTGTGCTGAGAGCGAGCTATCTGATGAAGTAGGTGGGGACCCGGCACAGTGAGGCCACCTGCGTGCACACGGCTGTCACAGCTCCAGGCCCCACTCGAACCCACGGTCAGTGTCAGCTGGTTCCGAGTCAGGCTGGGAGCCTCACTCTGGTGGCAGTTTTTAAAACCTTAGGCTCGGGGACCAGCTGGTGGCGTGGTGGTTATGGCACTGGACACTCGCATGTGGGCAACCACGGTTCGAGTCCTGGACCCCATGGCTTACTTTCTCATTTTCTCTTTCTCTCTTCCTCTGTATGTGTGTTTCTGGTCAAATTTTAAAAAATGATGAATAAATAAAATTAGATAAATTAAAATAATAAAACCTTAGGTTCTTGGAACCTGCAGATGACATAATGGTTATGCTGCTCGACTCCCACGTAGTCAACCATGGTTCGAGTCCTGGACCCGGTGGCTTAAAAACTCATGCTGGGTGGAGAATGAAGGAGAAGGGGTTGCAGCGTGTCCATTCCCCTGCGGGGTGATTTCTCACTTTCTGTCTTTCCGGTGAGTGCACGTGCCCTATAGCAAAAAATCTCTAAACACACACGCACGCGCACACGCAAGCCATGGTCCCGAGGGTCTGCTCAAGATGTGGCTGGGAGCAGCCCCCGGCCGTCAGGGGGTTTCCTCCGACAGCACGCACCCGCTATCTTCTCCATGGAAAAGCAATGGTGGCCAGCAACTGGTGTGGTCAAGGCACTGGATCCCACGTGGCTGGCTGCATGGTCTGAGTCCCGGATCCGGCAGCTTGAAATACACGCCAGGCGCGAGCGCATACATGCCCAAAATCCCGAGAGGAGAGAGAAGGGACTGAGGTGTGGCCAGCCCCCGGAGGTGCTTGCTCACTTTCCCTGTCTGCTCAGTGATCACACCCCAAAGGAAAATGGAGAAAAGCAGAGATGACTAGGTGATGAGTCGGTTGTCAGAGCTACCAAGATTCCAAGACGTTCTTCTGTGTTTTCTAGCGCTCATTAGTTCAAGCGACTGGCTGGGGCTGATGTGTCCCTAGGCTCTGCAGGCCAGGTGGGCTGGGCCAGGCAACTCTGTCTCCTGCAGAGCAAGGTGGGGAGTCCAACCTCTCTCCTCAGGTAGCCTGGTGCCCACCCCAGCCCTCCCTCAGCTGGCACCGGCAGCACTGACCCAGGGCAGGGTGCAGGGGGCCACGTCGGCCCCGGCACGGCCCCGGCAGCAGGCCAAGCCATGCTGCGCTCCTTTCTCTCCCTCTTGCTGCTGGTTCGGTCCTGGGGTGACGTGAGGGCACCAGGCAGCACGGTCCTCTGCCGGGCTGCGCACGGTACGCAGGGCGGACACAGCTCCACGGAAGGCCCAAGTGCTCCAGCCCTCACGCCTGGGGCCCGGGAGGAAGGCTGTGAATGAAAGCACTAGTTGGGCAACGCTGCCAGAGGCACGAGTCGCTCTGGAAGGTTCTGGATGAGACCTGGAGAACTGGCCCTCCGGAAGGGCGCTTTCTGTACAACACAACATACAGGATCGGAGAGACCAGCAGCTGGCGTAATGGCTGTCACTGGACTCCCATGTAGTTGACCGCGGTTGGAGTCTCAGAGCCGGTGGCTTAAACTCACACCAGGCGCGTGTGTGTGCATGCCCGAGATCCCGAGAGGAGAATGAAGGGATTGCGGCGTGACCAATCCCCTGGAGGGTGATTTCTCACTTTCTGTCTCTGTCTCTCTGTGTCTTTCTGGCGAGCGCACAGGCCCTATGGCAAAATCCTCTCAAAAAAACAAACAGAAAAAACAGGACTGGGTCCGGCTCCCTGGCCTGGCAGTTAAGGGAGCCGGATCCCACATGGCCCCTCCGGTCAGGGCGCTGCCCACCAGATGACAAGCAGGCCTTGCCTGAACCGTGGCGTGCTGTGGCCAGTGCAGACGTGTCCCACAAACCAGTGTGACGTCAGAACGTGCCCGGCCCTTTACTATGACCTGGGAGGCTCCGTGGAGGGGACACGGCCTGCAGAGCTCCCCACGCTGGCCTTTCCAGCGGCACAGTGCGAGGACGTGGCGCTCTGCGAGGCTGACCAGCTGGGAGGTTCGGGTTCGCGTCCAGAGACCCCCAAGCGCTCTGGGGGCAGGCGGAGGCTGGAGTGGATCGTGGCATCAAGCCCTGTTGGGAGTCTGTCTCGAACTCTCTCTCGTGGAATAATAAACGGGAAGCCTGGAACGCCAACCGTGCCGGGGGTGTGCTCAGAGCACGCGGGGTCTCGGAGGGCCCGGAGCAGCCGGACGATCACGCAGCAGTCGGGTCTGGGTCAACCCGAAGCCCAGGGGTCCCCACTGGCAAGGAGGAGCAGGGCGCCCTTCCTGACAGCAGACGGCCGGTAGCTGTTAGGGGAAAGAAGGCCCTTGGCCATCCCGAC